AGCTCGAATTGTCGTGAAATTCGATGCATTGTCGGGGTGTTTGCAGACCAGACACCACATTTTACGACAATTTGAGCTAGACGGCTGAAAATTGGTTTCCCGGGGTAAAAAGTGATAGGGAACTCGTTTTTGATAGTTTCAAATCGAAATTTTCAGTTCTAAGAGGTGAAACAGTTTTCGAGCTCTAATGGGTGAAATTTTCAGAAATCTCACCTTGTTAACCTGTCGCTCGCTCTGCATCATCGCCGCGTTGTGAACGATGCCGTCGATTCGATCCAACTCGAATTTCCCTTTGGACAGCTTCTGGACGAACGTTCGGATACTGTCGAAATCCTCGAGGTCGCATTGGCGGCAGTAGACCTGGAAATATGGGGGATTTTAGGCTTGTTTTAGGCTATTTGCGGGCCAATTTAGGCTAATTTTGGACATTTCTAGCCTAGGGTTTAGGCTGTTTTGGGCCATTGAAGGCCATTTCAGGCCGATTTCCGACTATTTTCCGACAATTTTGAACCATTTTTCCGGCCGTTTCTAGACCAATTTCAATGATTTCTGGGACATTTTAGGTCGGGCTTCGGCCCAATTTTCGGCCTGGAATGGAATTTTCAGGCCGAAATCCAGATGACCGCGTTCTAGACTGCTTTCAGGCCGTTTCAAACCGATTTTTGGGATCATTTTTAGCCATTTTCAGCAATTTCCGGATTATTTTAGACCAATTAGGGTCATTTTCAGCCGTTTTTCATGATTTTTGGGTCATTTTCAGCCGTTTTTCATGATTTTTGGGTCATTTTCAGCCGTTTTTCATGATTTTTGGGTCATTTTCAGCCGTTTTTCATGATTTTTGGGTCATTTTCAGCCATTTTTCGACTATTTCTGACCTGTTTGTTGCGCGTATGGGCGTGGCCTAAAAAGGGGCGGAGCCTAATTTTGCTAAATCTTTTTAAAAAATCCCAAAAAAAGGCCTAAAATCATCCATTTCCAATCGATTTTCTTCAAATTTTCTAGAATCTAAAACTGGGCGGAGTCTATAAAAAGGGGCGGAGCCTAATTCCTCAAAATATCAAAAATAGGGCTTAAGATCCTACATTTTTGCCCACTTTTCCTCGATTTTTCTCGTCTAAAAAGTGGGCGGCGCTTTTCAAAACAAGGGGCGGAGCTTACTATACAAAGAGGGCGTGGCCTAAAAAAAGGGGCGGAGCTTAATTTTGCTAAATCTTTAAAAAAAATTCCAAAAATAGGCCTAAAACCATCCATTTTCAATCGATTTTCTTCAAATTTTCTAGAATCTAAAACTGGGCGGAGTCTATAAAAAGGGGCGGAGCCTAAAAGGGGGTGGAGCTTAATTCCTCAAAATGTCAAAAACAAGGCTTAAGATCCTTCATTTTTGCCCCAATTTTCTCGATATTTCTCGTCTAAAAAGTGGGCGGATTCTATAAAAAGGGGCGGTGCTTACTATACAAAGTGGGCGTGGCCTAGAAAGGGGTGGAGCTTAATTTCACTAAATCTTCAAAAATCCCAAAAATACGCCTGAAATCATCCATATTCAACCGATTTTCTTCCAATTTTCTAGACCCTAATAGGGGGCGGAGCCTATAAAAAAAAGTGGGCGGAGCTTCGGGTGTTTAATTCCTCAAAATATGTCGCTTTGAGTCTATTTCAATAATTTTTTCGGGCATTTTTTTTATGCTTTTAGGGCTATTTTAGGCCAATTTTCGGCTTTTCTAGACCATTTCAGGCCTAATCTAGGTCATTTTCAGCCGTTTTTCATGATTTTTGGGTCATTTTTTGACGATTTTCAGCCATTTCTAACCTGTTTATTGCGTGTATTGAGTACGATATCCCTCCGCACTTGTACACACTTCTCACGATTCCTGCATGCCATAATAACGCGGGCATTCCGTTTCGCCAGCTCTTCAGCCGTCGCTTGTCCGATGCCCGACGTCGCGCCCGTCACTATGTACGTCTTTCCGGCCAGATCCTCGTGCAGATCGTATTTCGTGCCCGATTGGGTCGAGCTGCAAGGAATACGGTGGTTTTCGGCATGAGCAATTGACAAAAAATCGAGTTTTCCGGGTTGAAATGAGCAAAAAATCGATTTTTTAGGTATTAAAATAAGCCAAAAATCAATTTTTCGGGGTCAAAATGAGCTAAAATCGGGTTTCAAAGTTTTAAAATTGAGCCAAAAATGCCTTGTTTTAAGGTCAAAATGAGCCAAAAATTGCGTTTTCGGGTGGTCAAAATGAACCTGAAATTGAGTTTTTCGGTTTAAAATAAGCCAAAAATACCTTTTTTAAGGTCAAAATGAGCCAAAAATCAATTTTTCTGAGTCAAAATAAGTCAAAAATCGAGTTATTTGGCTGAAAATGGCGATTTTTCTACCAATTTTCAGCTGAATTTTCAGACGTTTTTCTGTCAATTTCAGCCGATTTTTCATGATTTTTAGCCCAAAATTTCCATTTTTTTTTTTAAATTTCCAAAAATCACCCCCCAAACTCACTCCCAAATGTGATATCCACCGTAAGCCAGGCCGAACGCCGAGAATCCGACGGACCACGGAGACGTCAATCCCTGAATTAGGCGTCTTCCAGCCATTTTTGAAACCCTAAATTCGAAATTTTCGGTGTCAAAACAGTCTAAAATGGCTAAAAAATTCAGAAATTTAGAGAAAAAAAATACATAAAAATTCCAGATTTTTGAACTGAAAATCGTCAAAGTTCGCCTAAAATTCGGATTTTTTGATTCATTTTTCAGGAAGAAAAAATCAATAAATTACCATCTAAATTACATATTTTAAAGGGGAAAAAAGGGCGAAAAAAATCAACAAAACCAGTAGAAAAATTGGGTGGAAAATAGTCGATAATTGGGGGTAATTAACGGGGGTAATTAACTAATTAACAATCAATTAGACGAGTTTTTTGGCTTCGAAAAATCCGCGAAGATGACGCATTTGCCAGGCACCAGTCAGAGCCAAGACGACCACCTGAAATATCGATTTTTAGGCCATTTTAGACCAATTTCAGACCGATTTTTGGCCATTTTCAGCCTTTTTCAGACCATATCAGGCCGATTTTGGTTCATTTTCAGATTTTTTGGACCGATTTGAAGCCATTTCCAGCTGATTTTTGACACTTTTAAGCAAATTTTGGGGTATTTTAAGCCATTTTCAGTCATTTCAGGCTGATTTTAGTAAATTTCAGACCAATTTTGGTTCTTTTAGGCCATTTCAGGCAGTTTCAGACCGATTTTAGGCCATTTTTCAGCATTTTTAGACCATTTTCAGCGATTTCAGACCGATATTGAGCCATTTTCAGCTTCGTCAGAAGAAATTAGCCCATTTTTTCAGGTCATTTTGAGCTATTTTCAACCATTTCAGGCTTATTTTAGGCAATTTAAGCCCGGTTTTAGGCCATTTTCAGCGATTTTCAGCGATTTTCAGCCATTTAAAACTGATTTTTGACAATTTCGGACCGAGTTTCAGCAATTTTCGACCAATTTTAAGCAATTTTTCAAGCCATTTCCAGCTGTTTTCAGCCATGTTCAGCCCCTTTTTGACAGTTTTCAGCTAATTTTGGGGGGGGGGGGGCAAATTTTCGAAAATTTCAGACCGATTTTGGAGCACTTCTGAGCATTGAAAATACCAAAAATCGCGTCTGAAAATTCTGAAAACACGACAGAATGCACAGAAATTGAATTAATCGGCTTTAGGACCATTTTAGATCAAATTTAAGCCATTTCAGATCGATTTTGAGCTATTTTAAGCCATTTCCGACCGTTCTAGTCCCAGTTTAGGCCTTTTTTAACGGATTTTCGGCCATTTTCAAAAGCAAAATCCATACCTGAGCAATGGACCAGTAGAAGACACGAGAGTTGGTGGATTCCGACGTTTGACGGAATCGCTCCTCACGATATCTTTGATAATTCTGCTCTTTTGTGATTTGATCCACTTGGTCGAGGAGTTGACGGATACGCAGCTGCAGCTCGTTGAGCTTGTCTTTTTGGGCAATCTGGAACAGGATTTTTGGGGTTTTTGGCTCATTTTAGACATTTTTCGAGGCCAAAAACCTCAATTTTCACACTTTGAAACCCAAAATTTCAGTCTGAAACTATAAAAAACGAGTTTCCCGTGCTTTTTTGGCCCTGGAAATCAATTTTCAGCGCTCTAGCACAAATCGTCGTCAACTCTGGTGTATGGTCCGCAAACACCGGGACAAAGCATCAAATTTTACGACAATTTGAGCTAGAGAGCTGAAAATTGATTTCCAGGGGTGAAAAATGTCGGGAAGCTTGATTTTGATAGTTTAAAATCGAAATTTTGAGTTTTAGGCGGGGAAATCTTAATTTTCTAAGTTACAGAGCCAAGATTCCGCTTCGAAAACATCAAAATCGAGTTTCCCAAGCTTTTTCAGCCTCGGAAACCAATTTTCAGCCGTCTAGCTCAAATTGTCGTAAAATTAGGTGTCTGGTCCGCAAACACTGGGACGAAGCATCGAATTTCACGACATTTCCAGTTGGAAGGCTGAAAAATGAGTTGTAGGGATAAAAAATGATGAGAAACTCGTTTTTGATAGTCCTAACTTTTTAAATTGAAGTTTTAGAATCGAAAACCCGGATTTTCAGATTTCCAAAATTTCAGATCTCAAAATATCCGTCTGAAAATGTTGCAAATGAGCTTCCCATGCCTTTTCACCCCGGGAAATCAATTTTCAACTCGCTAGCTCAAATTGTCGTAAAATCTGGTGTCTGGTCTGCAAACACCGAGTAGATCCCAGTGTTTGCAGACAAAACGCCAAATTTTACGACAATTCGAGATAGAGAGCTGAAAATTAGTTTCCAGGGGTAAAAAGGCATGGAAAGCTTGATTTTGATAGTTTAAAATCGAAATTTCAAGTTTTAAGGGGTGAAAATTAGGTTTTAAAGCCAAATTCCATGAATTTGGATGCATTTTTGCCCAAAATAGATCAATTTACGCTTATTTTAGACCATTTCCGGATCATTTTAAGCGTGAAAATGCCAATTTTCAGCCCAAATTACCTGTGCATAGTCCTGTGCATGGTCTCCAGCCTGAATATCCAAATGCACACGTAATTGTGCTCCATTGAACCACGCGGTGCTGTTCGAATAGATACAAATGATGTGCTCTCCCGGGGTGTTCGATGTGAATGTGAAGCGTCCTTCGGCAGTGTACAGTTTCGACAGAATCACCTGGAAATTTGAATTTTGGACTGAAAAAGTTGGAAAATGGGTTTTCAGGGCAAAAATCTCAAGCTGAAACTTTCGAAATCTAGATTTTCAGACATTTTCAGCCATTTTAGGTCAGTTTCAGGCCATTTTCAGCCAGTTATAAGCCTTTTAAAGCCATTTTTGACTAATTCAGGGCCAATTTCAGGCCATTTCAATCCATTTTCAGCCGATTTTAGATAATTTTAAGCCTATTTTTGATCATATTAGGACGATTTTGGACCATTTTCAGCCATTTTAGACCGATTTTAAGCCATTTTGGGTCATTTTAATCTATTTCAGACCATATTTGAGCCCATTTATTGGACAATTTTAGTCCTTTCCGAGGCCATTCTAGACCAATTTTGGGCCTTTTTTGAGGCCATTCTAGACCAGTTTTAGGCTTTTTTGAGGCCATTCTAGACCAATGTTAGGCCTTTCCGAGGCCATTCTAGACCTGTTTTAGGCCTTTTTGAGGCCATTCTAGACCAATGTTAGGCCTTTTTCAGCTTATTTTCAGCCAATTTTGGGTCTTTTTCAGTCTAAAAATGCGGATTTTCTGCCATTTCTCAACACTCACCTTATCCTCTGGATCCTTGACCTCCACATGCATTCCAATATTCGGATAGTCACCGTATCCCTTCGTATTTGGATCATACAGTTGGACTTTGTAGTTTCCGGTGACCTGGAATTCGAATTTTGGGGTTTTAGAGTCAAATTTTGTCATTTTCAGCGATTTTAGAGCCAAAAAATGTGATTTTCAGCCATTTTTAAAGCTAAAATTCGTCATTTTTGATGATTTTCGAGCACAAAAAAGTTCAATTTAGGGTCATTTTAGCTCATTTTTCTCCAATTTTCAGCTTAAAACTCACCATCGTCTCGTCTGGAATTTCCTCGATGAAGCACTTCTTCTCAGTTTCAGCAATATGGAAGTAGAGAGAATTGACGGTGGTGGCCAGGCCAAGAAGTGCGACGATGAGGAGACGCATTCTGAAAATGGAAATTTTGGGATTTTTGGGGTTTTTAAGCAGAAAAATAGAGCTGAAATAGGTTGAAAAAAACCGAAATCATGAAGAATTCAAAAATTATCGATTTTAGGCGTTTTTCGCGAATTTTCTGGAAATTTCAGCGTTTTACAGCATGCTGAAACGATTCTTACACTGAAAATTGCAAAAAATCCGATTTTTTAAATTAAAGCGAAAAATTATTTTTGCCAAAATTTTCAAATTTAACGAATTTTCGAGATTTTTTCAGACTTCCAGACTCAAAAAAAGCTGAAAATCTGGAATTTTCAATTAAACAAAACTGAAAAGCAGCGAAAAAAAAATTTTTTTCAGAAAAATTAATTTTTTACAATTTTTCCAGATATTTTGTAAATTTTTGGCTGAAAATAACATTTCTAGAATGTATAATTCAATATTTTCACTGAAAACCACTCGAAAAACTATTTAAAACACTGAAAAATTCATATTTTTCGAAAAAATCATTTTTCCTCAATTTTCATCAATTTTGCATCATTTTCACTGGAATTTTCGCTGAAATATGTTGAAAAATCGATGAAAATCGATTTTTTGACCTTAAAATCAAAAAAAGAAATCGAAAAATGAGCAACAACGAAGAAATCCGCCGAAAATCCGACCTCAAAACGTCCACGTCGTACTTGGTCCGCAAACACCGCGCCCGCGTACCGCTGCACAGAACCTGACGACAATTAGGTCGAATTTGGGCGGGAATCCCGAATATTCGAATTTCAAAGCTAGAAAATCGATTTTTCGTCTATTTTTGATCATTTTTACTCGATTTTCTTGGTGAAAAAGCCGAAAACTATAATTTTAAAGCATTTTATTCGATTTTTGAAGTCAAAAAAGTCATGTAAATACAATTAAAACATAGAAATCCGTAAAAAAAGAGTGTGCAAGTAGATGGATAAAAAAAGGCAAGGGGAGATTTTTCAGAGGAATTTTTAAGTGGGAATTTCGAGGGAGAAGGCAGGAGAAAAGGCACATTTTAAACAGGAAAATTAATTTTAAAAAATTAAAAAATCACAGGAAAATTTTTTTAAAAATTCAACAAAAAATTTTTAACTAAAAAAGCGGGAAATTCAAAGTTCAGGACTCGAAAGTCTCCAATTTCTCGAAAATCCATCGCTGCGCTCCGTTTTTGACATCGCAATGTGATCCGAAAATTTGATATTCTGAATTTGGCGATTTTTGGGTTACTGTAAGACACATGCCACCCTGTGTCAACCATCCGTTCTTCTCGACGACCATTGTGTTAGAGCGGAGCTGCAAAAATTGAATTTTTAAATTTTTTTTTCGAAAAAAAATTTTTGTTTGAAAATTCAAAAAAAATTAGATTTCGAAATTTTTTGGCTGGAAATTTTCGCCTGAAAACATCGAATTCGAATTTCCCATGCCGTTTTACCCCGGGAATTTTTTTTCAGATCGCTAGCTCAAAGTGTCGTAAAATTCGATGTTTGGTCTGCAAACACCACACCGAACACCGAATTTTACGACAATTCGAGATTTAGCGCCGCAAAAATGGTGTCCAGGTGTACAAAAGCACGGGAAGCTCGATTTTGATAGTCCGGAACCCCTAATTTGAAATTTTAGACTCGAAAAGCTGTATTTTCAGATTTTTCAAATTTTCAAACTACAAAATTTCGGTCTGAGAATGTCAAAATTGAGTTTCTCATGCTTTTTCACGTTGTGGCATCAGTTTTCAGCTCGCTAGCTCGAATTGTCGTAAAGTTCGTTGTTTTGTCTGCGAACACCACACCAGACACCAGATTTTACGACAATTTTAGCAATCGAGCTGAAAATTGGTTTCCAGGGGTGAAAAATCATGGGAAACTTGATATTGATGATCCTAAACCCCTGAATCGAAGTTTTAGGGTCGAAAAATTGGATTTTTCAGATTTTCCAAATTTTCAGATTTCGAAATTTTAGTTCGAAATTACGAAAAATGGAGTTTCCCATGGTTTTTTACGTCGTAGCATCAATTTTCAGCTCGCTAGCTCAAACTGTCGTGAAATATGGTGTCTGGTCTGCAAACACCACACCAAACACCAAATTTGACGACAAATCGAGATATCGAGCTGAAAATTGGTTTCCAGGGGTAAAAAGTGACGGGGAGCTCGATTTTTGCAGTTTCAAAGCCGTAATTTTAATTTTAAGCCTCGAAAAACTCACATTTTCACACTTCACCATCACAACATCCTTCTTTTCCGCTGAAAAATCGAGGCACATCTGGCTAATTGCGTTTTTGAAGGTTTTCGTCAAATCATCAAAAATCCATTCTTGATTTCCGCCGGTCCCGTGGCAGGCGAAAAGGGCGGGGGCCTCATTTTCTTTTCTGGCCATCGAATCCAGGCATAAATGGCCGATTTTCATTGGAGCGATTTGCCAGGCGTCTTTTTGGGAACTCTGGAAAAAAAAATCGAAAGTTTGCATTTGAAAAATAGCGGTTTTCGAACTAAAGACAGTGGGAAATTTGAGTAAAACCAGATTTTCAGACTTTCAAACCCCAAATTTCAGCTCAAAACTATCAAAATCGAGTTTCCCATGGTTTTCTACCCCTGGAAACCAATTTTCAGCTCTCTAGCTCAAAGCGTCGTAAGGTATGGTGTCTGGTCTGCAAACACGCCGACAATATACAAGACCTTACGACATTTCGAGTTAGAGAGCTGAAAATTGGTTTCCCGGGGTAAAAAATCATGAGAAGCTTGATTTTAACGGTTTCAGATTGAAATTCCGTGTTTGAAAGTTGGAAAATCTCAATGTTCAGAGATGAAATTTCAGTTTTGGGACTTGAAAATGTCGAAATCGAGTTTTCCATCACTTCTTACCCCTGGAAACCAATTTTCAGCTCGCTAGCTCGAATTGTCGAAAAATTCGGTGTTTTNGTCAAGTGTTTGCAAACAAAACCCCGACCTTACGACAATTCGAGCTGGAGAGTTGAGAATTGGCAACCCGGGGATAGAAGATGAGGGAAACTCGATTTTGGACTTTTTAAGCACAAAATTTCAGTCTAAAATGCGTGAAAATTGAGATTTTTCCTCTAAAAGCCCATATTTTATCGAAATAAAAACCTACGCCAACTGCGGGTACACTGTATCCAGGTACCATTTGAACGATTTGCACTGTAGGCGGTCGCGAATCGCTAATCGATCGCCGATACTGGAAATTTAAGAGTTTCGAGCTGAATTTCAGCCAAAAACTCACTCTCCATAGTTCACAAATCTCGCCGATGGCACATTTTTCAAATATATGGCCTTGTACTCGTCCATCCAGACTTCTGCCGCGCGGCGGGTGTTTCTGGAAAAAAGTAAATGCTTTTGGCTGAAAATTTGGGCTGAAAGTGTTTTTGAGACCAAAATCTGAAATTTTCAGCTGTAAACGGTCAAAATTCCGGCTTGAAACTATCAAAATCGAGTTTCCCATGACTTTTTATCACGGGAAATAATTTTCAAGCTCGCTAGCTCGAACTGTCGTAAAGTCTGGTGTTTTGTCTGCAAACACCAGACAATGCATCACATTTTACGACAATTCGAGCTAGCGAGCTGAAAATTGGTTTCCAGGTGTAAAAAAGGTCGGGGAACTCGATTTTGATAGTTTGAACTTGAAATTTTGAGTTTTAAAGGCCGAAAGACCATTTTTAAGACACATTTTGCCCAATTAAGGCCCATTTTTCAGATTTTCCAACAATCTCACTTCTGAAAAACGTTGCCCGAACCGCCGGGGAACGTATACTGATGCTTTTTGCGGAACACGTGTCCGACACGAGAGCACGGTAGGATCTCGAGGGATCCTCCACACTGCCAAACGCGGAATGACATCTCCAGATTCTCGCCACCCCATACTTCCATATCCAGGTCATAGGTTCCCAATTCCTCGAACCATTCCTTGGAAATCGCAAAAAGCCCTCCGGCCATCGTTGGGGACTTGATTGGAGCCGTCGGATGGGCGTGACGGTCTTTTCGGAGCTCTTCGTTCATGAATTCCCAACGGAATACGAGGGTCCAGTCGAATCCTGGAAAAAACAATTTTGAAATCGATTTGGCAGTCTTGAAACAATCAAAATGGACATTTTTGAGCCCAAAGTCTGAAATAATTTGAAAATGAGCAATTTCGACCACTTACACTAAAAATTCTGCTTTGAAACTATCAAAATCAAGCTTCCCATGGTTTTTTACACCTGGACGCAAGATTCCAGCTCGCTAGCTCGAATTGTCGTAAGATATGGTGTTTGGTCCGCAAACACTTTGACAATGCACCATATTTTACGACAATTTAAGCTAGAGAGCTGAAAATTAATTTCCAGGGGTAGAAAAGCATGGGAAACTCGATTTTGATATTTTCAAAGCTTGAAAATGAAGTTTCGTTTGTCAAAATCGAGATTTTCCAGATTTTCAGCCTTTCAAACACAGAATTTTGGTCTGAAAATGTCAAAATCGATTTTCCCATCGCTTTTTAAGTCGGGAAATCAATTTTCAGCCCTCTAGCTCAAAATGGCGTAGGGTCTGGTGTTTCGTCTGCAAACACTCTGACAATGTACAAGGCCTTACGACAATTTGATCTATCAAGCTGAAAATAGGTTTCCAGGGGTAGAAAAGCATGGGAAACTCGATTTTGGCATTTTCAAAGCATGAAAATGAAGTTTCAGCTCTGAAAATTGAGATTTTCCAACTTTCAAACCCGGAATTACAGCTTGAAAATGTCGAAATCGTGCTCCCCGCGCTTTTTTTACCCCCGAAAAACCTATTTTCAGCTCGCTAGCTCGAAGTGTCGTAAGATCTGGTGTCTGGTCTGCAAACACTCTGACAATGTACAAGATCTTACGACAATTCGAGCTAGCGAGCTGAAAATTAGTGCCCAGGGGTAAAAAATCATGGGAAGCTCGATTTTGGTAGCCTCTGAAAATCAAGTTTCACGGTCGAAATCGGTAAATTTTAAAGTTTTTTCAAGAATTTGCGTCCCAAATTCAGGTTTTTTCGACCGTACCTCCCCTCAAATCCGCACTGGCTCCCACATAATTGAAATTATCAACGTTTATCACATCGATAATCGGCGCGACCACTGCCTTCGGGTTCTCGGCGATCCGACTGAGCAATGGCTCCAACCACTTCTGATTACACTCGATGTGACTGTCCAGAAACGTCAGAATCGGCGCCTGAGCCACCTGTGCGCCTTTAACTCTCGATCTAATCAGTCCCTCTCGCTGATTATTTCTCAGCACTTTGATTTTTTCAATTTGAGCCAGCTCTTTTCCAATTTCCACGTCTTCTGAATTGTCATCAACGAGCACTATCTCCATGAGCAATGCCTCTGGGGACATATTGAAAACAGAGAATACGGTACGTAGCAATGAGCTTCTCGCCTCGTTGTGATACGTGATGATTACTGTAGTTGGTCGCATTTCGTACTTGGAATAGTCAACGTCCCGGCAGGGCGCTTCTCGAGAATCCGGAATGTTCCGGGTGGGATTCAACGCGTCGCTGGCTTCTTGATTGAACGAATTCGCCTTGTATTTGTCCTGAAAATTGCTTTTTTAGCTATAAAAATCCAAATTTTCTGCCATTTTCAGCTAGGAAATTGCCCAAAGATCACATTTTTCGACCCCATATTTCTGAAAATTGGGCTTTGAAACTATCAAAATCGAGTTTCCAATACGTTTTTACCTCTAGCAGCCCATTTACAGCTCGCTAGCTCGAATTGTCGTAAAATTCGCTGTTTGGTGTGGTGTTTGCAGACCAAACACCAGACCATACGACAATTCGAGCTAGCGAGCTGAAAATTGGCATCCCGGGATAAAAAAGCATGGGAAACTCGATTTGAGCATTTTCAGACTGAAATTCTGGCTTTGAAAGTGTGAAAATCTTAAAAATCTCGATTTTCACTCATAAAACTCCGGTTTCGGAGCTTGAAACTATCAAAATCGAGTTTCCCATCACTTTTTACTCCTGGAAATCAATTTTCAGCTCGCTAGCTCGAACTGTCGTAAAGTCTGGTGTTTTGTCTGCAAACACCAGACAATGCATCACATTTTACGACAATTCGAGCTAGCGAGCTGAAAATTAGTGTCCTGGGGTAAAAAAGCATGGGAAACTCGATTTTGATAGCTTCAAACTCAAACAATACAGCCGAAGGGTCGAAATTGGTCATATTTTCAGAGTTTCGGACCTTTGAAAAATTCGGCTTTGAAAACTAACAAAATCGATTTTTCCATGATTTTTTACCCCCAGAAACTAATTTTGAGCTCTCTAGCTTGAAATGTCGTAAAATATGGTGCATTGTCGACGTGTTTGCAGACAATACACAATATTTTACGACAATTTGAGCAAGCGAGCTGAAACTTGTTTTCCAGGGGTAACAAGGCACGAGGACATCGATTTTGGCACTTTCAGACTGAAATTCTGGGTTTGAAAGTGGGAAATCTTGAAAATCTCGATTTTGACACAGAAAACTCCAGTTTTAGGACTTGAAACTATCAAAATCGAGTTTTCCATGATTTTTCACACCTAGACGCTGATTTTCAGCTTGCTAGCTCGAATTGTCGTAAGATCCTGTACATTGTCAAAGTGTTTGCAGACAAAACACCAGATCTTACGACAATTCGAGCTAGCGAGCTGAAAACTGGTTTCTAGGGGTGAAAAGACATGGAAAACTCGATTTCGATGGTTTCAAAGCGAGATTCTGAGTTTTAAGACTAGAATCTGCCAGTTTCAAGTCTAGAAACTCAAAATTTCGATTTAAAATTATCAAAATCGAGTTTCCCATATTCTGTTACCCCGGGAAGTCAATTTTCAGCTCGCTAGCTCAAAATGTCGTAACGTCTGGTGCATTGTCGGCGTGTTTGCAGACAAAACACCAGATCTTACGACAATTTGAGCTAGAGAGCTGAAAATTGGGTTTTATACGTAAAAAATCATGGGAAGCTCGATTTTGATAGTTTCAAGCCGTGATTTTGAGTTCTAGGGCTCTAATTCTGGATTTTTCTATCTAATTTTCAAGATTTTTGACCAAAATTCCCCAATTTTTACCTCTCCCTTATGCCATTTCCCCTTATTCAAGAATTTCTCGACATCAAAATTCTGCCACGTCACACCGGCTTCTGTCCTCTTATGAATGGTGGTGTCCTCAGCCAAATCGATCGTTGGAATGGGCGGAGCCTGTTTTTTCAGCCGATTTTCGTCGTTATCCATGGAGCGCGGTTTGATGGCGTCGAGGGGTAGTGGAGGGGGTGGATGGCCTTGCTGGAATTCGTTTTTCAGCTCGAAAAATTCGAAAAAAAAAATTTTATTTGATTTTTTTTCTGGCTGAAAATTTTCAGACAAAATTTCTAGTCTGAAAATCGAATTTTAGACTCAAAGTTCTTGAAAAAATCGATTTTTCCAGTCATTTTTATCCTAATAAAACATAATTTCAGCAAAAAAAATTTTTGGAAAAAAATTTTTTTTTGATTTTTTTTGGCTGAAAATTCTCCGACAAAATTTCTAGTCTGAAAATCGAATTTTAGACTCAAATTTTTTGAAAAAATCGATTTTTCCAAAAATTTTCATCCCGAAAATCCTAATTTTTCAGGAAATTTTTTTTTTCAAATTTTCAGCCAAGTCTCACATTTTTCAGCTCGCTGGAATTCGTCGATTGCACATAAATGAAGGCCAGCACGAAGAGCCAAACAACGGCGAGTACGGTGCCTACCGTACGCATTTTCAGCATTCGAGGCAGCATTTTTTTTTGTGAATATTTTGATTATAATGGCTTGGCGGGAAATCTGGAAAATTTGAATTTTCAGAAAAATTTTTTAAAAATTGTTTTTTTTTAATTTTCGAAATTCGTCAAAAATCCAATTTTAGATACTTTTTTTTGTCTGAAAAACGGCTGAAAATGCTCATTTTTAGGTGATTTTTTCAGATATTTTTCAGCCAAATTTTTCTAAAATTTTGAATTTAATATATTTTTTTCAAATATATATATTTCTGTACTACACAAAAAATGAAAAATTGGGACACAATAGGCAGCAAAAAAGGGGGAAAAATCGAGAAATAGAGAGAATTTTCAGGAAGAGAGACGCAGAGAAAAAATTGAGGAAAATTGAAGAAGGAAATTCGATATATTTCTTTCTTTTTTTTCCTTTTTTCTAGTTATAAAAAATTTGAAAATTCAGAAAAAAAATTTGAAAATTCAAAATTTCAAAATTTCAAAAAAAATTACTGAAATTCTGAAATACAGAAAATCGGAAATTCAGAAATTCAAAAATTCAGAATCTCAGAAATTCTGAGATTCAGAAATTCAGAAATTCTGAGATTCTGAGATTCAGAAATTCAGAAATCCAGAATCTCAGAAATTCTGAGATTCAGAAATTCTGAAATTCAGAGATTCAGAAATTCAGAAATTCAGAATCTCAGAAATTCTGAGATTCAGAAATTCAGAATCTCAGAAATTCTGAGATTCAGAAATTCAGAAATTCAGAGATTCTGAGATTCAGAAATTCTGAGATTCAGAAATTCAGAAATTCTGAGATTCTGAGATTCTGAGATTCAGAAATTCAGAAATTCAGAGATTCTGAGATTCTGAGATTCAGAAATTCTGAGATTCAGAAATTCAAAAATTCAGAAATTCAGAAATTCAAAAATTTACTGAAAAAAAGAAAATCAGGAAGTTATGAAATGCAGAATTTCAGAAATTCAGTAATTCTGAGATTCTGAGATTCAGAAATTCAGAAATTCAGAAATTCAGAAATTCTGAAATACAGAAAATCGGAAATTCAGAAATTCAAAAATTCAGAATCTCAGAAATTCTGAGATTCAGAAATTCAGAAATTCTGAGATTCTGAGATTCAGAAATTCAGAAATCCAGAATCTCAGAAATTCTGAGATTCAGAAATTCTGAAATTCAGAGATTCAGAAATTCAGAAATTCAGAATCTCAGAAATTCTGAGATTCAGAAATTCAGAATCTCAGAAATTCTGAGATTCAGAAATTCAGAAATTCTGAGATTCAGAAATTCAGAAATTCAGAGATTCTGAGATTCAGAAATTCTGAGATTCAGAAATTCAGAAATTCTGAGATTCTGAGATTCTGAGATTCAGAAATTCAGAAATTCAGAGATTCTGAGATTCTGAGATTCAGAAATTCTGAGATTCAGAAATTCAAAAATTCAGAAATTCAGAAATTCAAAAATTTACTGAAAAAAAGAAAATCAGGAAGTTATGAAATGCAGAATTTCAGAAATTCTGAGATTCTGAGATTCAGAAATTCAGAAATCCAGAATCTCAGAAATTCTGAGATTCAGAAATTCTGAGATTCAGAGATTCAGAAATTCAGAAATCCAGAATCTCAGAAATTCTGAGATTCAGAAATTCTGAAATTCAGAGATTCAGAAACTCAGAAATTCGGAAATTTCAGTAATTTTTCACCCTAGAACCTATTTTCAGCTCAAAAATAGGTTTTTCGAAAAATTAAATTTCAAATTTTCCAAAAATTAAATAATTCAGAATTTAACCAATTTTTCAGAGCATTTTCAGACTAAAAAACACTTGAAAATCTCAATTTTTCCACAATTTTTTACTCTAAAACACTATTTCTAGCTGAAATTTAAAGAAAAAAAAATATTTTTTTACTTAAAAGTTTTTTTTTTTTGGAATTTTTTTTCCAAATTAATTTTTCGTAGTGACTGGCTGGGATGTGTGTGTCATGCTCCGGGTGGTGGTCTGGAAAAATCAATTAATTAATTGAATTGCTCATTTTTTGAGGGGAAAAATTGGAAAAATAAATTTTTGAAAAAAAAAGCTGAAAATCGTGATTTTTTTCGCAAAATTTTGAATAAAACATTTCGAATTTTTCAGCCAAAAAAATCATGGCGATTTCAGATTATTCTTAAAAATTGAAAAAAAAAATTAAAGTTAAAAAGTACAGTAAGATTATTGGTTAGAGAACCGAAAAACAGAGAAACCAAGGTAGAAAAGCGTTAATTTTGACAAAAAAAAACTATAAAATTGAAAATTGTAGAAAAATATTTTTTAAAAAAAATCAATTTTATCAACAAAAAAATATTTAGAATTAAAAAAAAATAAAAGAAAAATACAACTGAAAACACTCTGAAAATCTACAAAAACTACAAAAATTCGAATATTGGGAGATTTTTGGAAATTTAGGATTTTGGAATTCTTTAAGTTTCAAAATTTATGAATTTCCCAATTTTTTGAAATTTTTCGAATATTGACAAATTTAAAACTCGGAAATTCAGAAATGCAGAAATTCAGAAATTCAGAAATTCAGAAATTCAGAATTTCAGAAATTCAAAAATTCAGAAATTCAGAATTTCAAAAATTCAAAAATTTAGAATTTCAAAAATTCAGAAATTCAGAAAATTCAGAATTTCAGAAAATTCAGAAATTCCAGAAATTCAGAAAATTCAGAAATTCAGAAATTCAAAAATTCAGAATTTCAGAAATTCAGAAATTCAGAAATTCAAAAATTCAAAAATTCAGAAATTCGGAAATTCAGAAATTCAGAAATTCGGAAATTCAGAAATTCAGAAATTCGGAAATTCAGAAATTCAGAAATTCGGAAATTCAGAAATTCAGAAATTCGGAAATTCAGAAATTCAGAAATTCGGAAATCGGTTCTGAAACTCAAAAATGAGCATTTTAAGCCTAAAAATCGTAAATTTCCGCTAAAATGAGCATTTTGAATTCAAAAAAAAATGGATATTTTCGGACCAAACCCCTCAAGAAGAAGGAGAAGGATGTATTTTATAAATGAATGTTTATTTATTCTCTCTATCTCTCTGCGTCTCTCTCCTCTCTCTCTCTCTCCATTGGAAACTAAACACTCGTGGATGCTCCTCTGCGAGCCGCAACCAGCCAGAGCAACAGAGAGCAGTAAAATTCTCCTTCTCAATGTCTCTGCGTCTCTCTCCCTCTCTCTCTCTCTCTCTCTCTATTGAGGAATTCAGAAGAAAAAGAAGAAGGGAGGAGGAAGGGTCATCAATTTTAAAGAGCCCGAGAGAGAGAGAGAGAGAGAGATAGAGAGAGAGAGAGAGAGAGAGAGAGACGCGGAGAAATAGGGAAAAATGGGTTATGAGGAACAGGTGACGCATTGGGAGCCGGAAAAATGTCCCAGAAACTATTGAAATGGTCCTAAAATCGTGAAAAACGGCTGAAAATGAACCGAAAATGGACCAAAAATCATGAAAAATGGCCATTTTCTGAGCTTTTCGGTCGTTTTTAAGGGTTTTTGAGGACATTTTTCGAGCCTAAACCAGTCCGAAATTTCGGAAAAATAGTCTGAAAATGTCTAAAATTCGTGAAAAATGCCAGAAAATCGCCTGAAAACACTATAAAAGTCAGAAAACTGTCAAAAAATCTGGAATTTTCAGCCCTAAACCCACAAAAAAAAATCCCAATTTTAAGGCTCAAAAAAAAAAACTGAAAAATCCCCAAAATTTCGAATTTTCCTAAAAAAACGACTATCTACGCTACAAAACAACCTATGACACCACACTAATATACGCCTACATACACACCCAAATGTGATAATAAGAAATTAGAGATAACTGAAAAGCGAGAGACGCAGAGATAACCGGACGAGGGGGGGGGGGGGGAGGGTGGCACTAGAGTTCATCATCAGTGTGCTCTTTCTTATCATCGCAAAACGACTCCATACGTCGTTGATAGGGACTGTTCGATTTGCTTGTGGATCACGTTGACCTGAAATTCAATAATTAATGCAAAAAAAAGGGAAAAATAGTTAATTTTGAGCTGAAAATGTGTCAATTTCTACATTTTTTCGACCATTTACACCCAACATTTGGGCTCCAAACTGACAAAAATTGGCTTTTTCTACCTTTTAAAAGTCGGAATTTCGCCTTGAAAATTAGATTGAAATCCAGAATTAGAGCCTTAGAACTCAAAATCACAGCTTGAAACTATCAAAATCGAGCTTCCCATGTTTTTTTACGTATAAAACCCAATTTTCAGCTCGCTAGCTCGAATTGTCGTAAGATCTGGTGTTTCGTCTGCCAACACGCCCACATGCACCAGACGTTTCGCCATTTCGAGCTAGCGAGCTGAAATTGACTTCCCGGGGTAACAGAATATGGGAAACTCGATTTTGATAATTTTAAATCGAAATTTTGAGTTTCTAGACTTGAAACTGGCAGATTCTAGTCTTAAAACTCAGAATCTCGCTTTGAAACCATCAAAATCGAGTTCCTTATGCTTTTTTACCCCTACAAACCAATTTTCAGTCCGCTAGCTCAAAGTGTCGTAAGGTGTGGTGTCTGGTCCGCAAACACGCCGACAATGTACTAGATCTTACGACATTTTGAGCTAGCGAGCTGAAAATTGGTTTCCTGGCGTAAAAAATCATGGGAAGCTCGATTTTGATAATTTCAGATCGAAATTTTTGGGCTGAAAATCTGGAAATAGCGAAAAAGAAGTGCAAAAAATCCAATTTTTCATCTTATATGTAGCTTATTTTATGTTGAAAAAGTGAATTTGACAGTTTCATCACTTTTTTTGTTTTTATAATCTTGTCAGAGGATGAGCAATTGCTCAGCTTTAAATTAGCCTCTAATGATGAGCAATAAGTGTAAATGACAGATTATGATGGATTGGGAGGCATAAGGATGAGCAATTTCTGAATCTGACAGATTAAAACGTTGTAAACAAAAATCTAAAACTTCGAAATTCCAACAAAATCCAAAAACGCTGAAAAATGTATAGAATCTTTCAAAGAAAAAAGGGGCGGAGCTTAGCTTTTTCCCCAATTTTTGGAGCATTATTTGGAGCATCATGGAGCACTCACTACATATCGTGTCTCAAGTGGATCTTCTTTTCGAAAAAAAATTTGGAGCATCTTTTTTTTTTTTGAGAGCTCAATGAGCATTTCTCCCATTTTTTAGAAGGAAAAATGTCAATTACCAGATTTTCAGATAACAAATTCGAGCTGAAAATATCGAAATCGAGTTTCCAATGCGTTTTTACCCCCGGAACCCGATTTTCAGCTTTCTAGCTCAAAATGTCGTAAGGTATGGTGTCTGGTCTGCAAACACCACAACCATGCACCAAACTTTACGACAATTTGAGATAAAAATCTGAAAATTGGTGCTTAGGGGTAAAAAGCGATGGGAAACTCGATTTTGATAGTTTTAGCTGGAATTTTTTGATTTTTAAAGGTGGAAATCTCATTTTCTGGAAGACAGAGCCAAAATTTCGAGCTGAAACTATTGAAATCGTGTTTCCCATGCTTTGTTACCCCGGAAACCAATTGTCAGCTCTCTAGCTCGAATTGTCGTAAAATCTAGTACATTGTCGACGTGTTTGCGGACCAGACACCATACCTTACGACAGTTTGAGCTAGCGAGCTGAAAATAGGTTTTCAGGGGTGAAAAACCACGGGGAGCTCGATTTTAACACTTTCAACTCGCTATTGTAAGTTCTAAAGGGTGAAAATTCAAATTTCCCTCACCTCCTCTTTCGTCAACGCCTTCTCATGACTACGGTAGACGATACGGTAGGTCTGGCTCTTCTTGGCCTTCTTTTTGTTCTCAAATTCGTCGGTTAGCTTGACTTGTTCCACTAATTCCCCTCCAATCGTTCGAATCGTATCATAAACGTCAGATGTCATATCATTGAACTCTGTGGAGTCCGGTAGGAAGAACGAAATGTCGAAAATTACCTGAAAAATCGGATTTCAGGCCAAAGAATCGGCTTTTCTAGGCCTAAAAATGGGCCCACGGCCTATTTTGAGCCTAACCTGTGGATGCGCACTAATCTGCTTGTATTTCACATCCTCGCCCGGCTGTTTTCCAGCGAATTGCGACAAGAATCCAGTGTCTTTGGACCAGAATAATCTGGAAAAAAAGCATATTTCAGCATTTGGGAATCAAAATTCGGGTCTGAAAGTGCGAAATTCGAATTTCCCATGCCTTTTTACCCTTGGAAACCAATTTTCAGCCTTCCAGCTCGAACTGTCGTGACGTCTGGTGTTTGGTCTGCAAACACGCCGACAATACACCAGATCTTACGACAATTGAATCTAGCGAGCTGAAAATTGGTATGTAGTAGTAAAAAAGCATGGGAAACTCGATTTTGATAGTTTCAAACCTTGAAATTGAAGTTTTAGTTGTCAAAATCAAGATTTTTTAGATTTTCAGATTTTCAAACCAAGAATTTCAGTCTGAAAATGTCAAAATCGAGTTCAACGTGATTTTTTACTCTTGAAAACCAATTTTCAGCTATCTAGCTCAAATTGTCGTAAGGTATGGTGTCTGGTCTGCAAACACGCCGACAATGTACTATATTTTACGCCACTTTGAGCTAGCGAGCCGAAAATGGGTTTGTTTCTAGGGGTTTAAAGACGCGGGAAATTCAAATTTTTGGGTTTCGAAGCTCAAAAATCGCACCTAATATCCGGAATTCCATACAAAACCATCGCAATCCTCTCCAGACCGATACCAAATGCCCATCCGATTTTGTCGGTGACACCGGCGGATTCCAGAAGCTTCTGCTCCATGATTCCGCAGCCGAGCACTTCCAACCACTGGCCATTGTAGAATACCTGAGAAAATTTCAGATTTTTTTTTAGATTTTCAGATTTTTCAACTCAAAATTGAGAGTTGAAAATTGCGAATTCGAATTTCCCATAATTTTTAGGTCGGGACATCAATTTTGAGCGGATTTGAAGAAAGTGTCGTAAAATATGGTGTTTGGTCTGCAAACACCGAATTTCACGAAAATTCGAGCTAGCGAGCTGAATATTGGTTTCCAGGGGTAAAAAGCCATGGGAAACTCGATTTTGATAGTTTCAAA